ATCAGCCTATATTGAAAAGATTGCTACTAAATTCAACCTCCTAGGCAGAAAACCGCCTAATACACCACTAGTCAGCAATTAACGTCTTAATCCGATCACTAGTCAAATCAACCTATTAATTATCAAACTATACTAGCAGAAGTGTGGTTCAACCCTTTTCCCCGCCGTTTAGACACGACCGGACACCGCTTTCGCTAATCAGCTGCTAGCTAAATCGCTTACACGCTGTGATGAGAAGCACCTAGCTATAGTAGACCATCTGATTTCCTACCTATATAGCACGAAAGACCTAGCGATCTGCTTTGGTGGCAGCCAATCAGATAGCCAGATCTTCACTACTTCATCAGATACAAGCTTCGCTGATAATCCTGATAGGAAGAGCTCCGAAGGATTCATCTTCTCATTATTTGGTGGTCTAATCGAGTGGAAATCTCGTAGGCAGAAGACGATCACTATATCTACCACAGAAGCTGAATTGCTAGCTATCTCACACGCAGCTAAGCAGCTATACTAGGTTAAACGCCTATTCGAATTCGTCGAATTCAACACTGAATAGCAAGAAGTGTTGAATTGCGATAATAAGCAAACCGTTAACCTATTAAATCGCGAGAAGTTAGTATTTCAGACTAAACTTCGTCACGTAGATATTAACTGCCTATGGATTCGTCAAGAGGTGCAGGCAAAGCGCCTATCTGTCCAATGGGTTAAAACCACCGATATGCCCGCAGACGGTCTTACCAAGTGCCTACCTAGGCAGAAGTATACTGAATTCATCAGATAACTAAGTATAGAGATACCACCTCCTATCTAGTTATTCTGTTTCTCCTTTCTCTCATTCAGTTCTCACTTTGCTCTCATTCCGCTCTCACATCGAGAACTGAGGGGGTGTGTCAACATGTGGATGTTGTGGGGTCACATGACGAAGGACCTACTCATATAACCCCTCTCTACATATAGATCTTCTTCTATAAAGATCTAATAGATTGATCCTCAACGATCTCGTATATAATTGCCTACCTAAGCAAGAGACTCTCAATACTCTGATTCTGTTGATTTATCATGTGATCCTTTGCTATGTTTCTTGTGATATAAATACTGCTATGTTTCCTAGTTAAATTGAATCAAGTTTATTATCCTTTGTGATCGCTCTTCTAGATCGGTAGTACTCTTCCATAATCGTGGTACTTCTCCTACTTCATAGAAGTGCGCACGACCGATAGACTCATAACCGTGTATTCAGACACTACGTTGAGTATTTACCCTTATGCACACTATCGTCTTGTGTGTATAACCACGACTTTATGGTCACCGCCTAGAGTCCGACATATATTATAGGGTACTACTAACGATTGTGAGCGACCGTGGCCCCTAATTTATGAGTTCTTTCTAGGAAAGGGTATACAAAAGGCTATCGATTTAACGCCGATTATCTACCGCTTTTTACCCCTAGACCGACGGTATAATAGAGCGTACTAATCAGGAGATCGAACGAATTCTACGCGTATTCACGACGTACGTATAGGATAACTAGAAGGATCTACTACTAATAGTTACTATAGTAATTAATAATTGTGATACCGCTTTAACCGGAATCTCGCCGTTCTTCTTTATCTACGGCTATCACGTCGACCCGATTAGTATCGACGAAGTAGGGTAACTAGAAGACGCCCTAATACTACTATAAAAGGTAGGCGAAACGTTCGTGAATCGCCTTCGGGAAGCCACCGATTAGGCCTAGGCCGCTATAGCTTCTATATAGGCCCTTTAAGAAGAATAAGCGAACCGGCGCCGATAGGCCGCGCCTATCTATAAGAAGGATAACTAGATCTAGTTAAACCTTCGGAATATACGTACTTAACGACCGTTAAAGAAGTTAGATTAGCTATACGCTTAATACCGAGTAGTAGATGTTCCGTCACCGTTCACAGTCCGACTAGATATACCTACTAGTATATACCTAGTATTCTATATTAAGTTAGTTCGTCCGGTAGCGACGGACCTATTCCTATCTTAGCTAGTAGATGATCTATAGCCACCGCTATTACTAGTTAATAGAGAGGAGGAATACGAGGTTAAGCAGATCTTAGCTATCCGACGGAGGAAGATTAGGCGAGGATATCGTAACGAAGTACTAGTGAAGTGGAGAGGATAGACAGAGCAGACGTAGGAAACACTAGATTTAGTGCGAGATTATAGCGCCCTAGATACCTTTAAGGAGTAGCACGGCACTATTTCGGACGTGATTCGTTAGCAAATCGGCACCGAAGCCTATATCGTAAGACTAAGACTAGGAGGGGGTATTATCACGGGCTAGTGCCCGATATAGGTCACGTATATCACGAGACCTTAGTATATTAACGTGGGCAACGCGCGAGATAAACTTCTTCTCCTTAAGCTTTTTGTAAATAGCATGTTGGCCTAGTTAGATTGAATCAAGTCTTACTTCAGCCCTTCATAGATAATCTTGCTTCGTTAGGCTCGGCTTCTAATCCTATCGTAATCTAGGTTAACGAGGGTTAGTGCCACGATAACTTAGACTAACGTGATTCCGATACCGATACTATAATTATAGCTACGCTAGAATTCTGGGGGACTTTAACCGGTAGAAACTTAGCCGAGCCGGTGAAGGATAATAGATCTATCGATCCGTTATTTATCTATATACTAACCGGATCGCTAGTCGATGAGAATCTAGATAGCCTCTAGCTATCCGATATATTAACTTTGAATAGGTTTGCGTCGGACTATAAAGTATACGGAGTCGCCGAGGATTTATTTATCGCCCTATTTTAGGCTTTAAAGGAGAGCGTTACGAGTAACTAGGGAGGTATAATTAACTAATAACTTTTTTAGGCTATAATACTAAACTATACTAGAAAGTAGGTAAAGCACGGAGTAAGGTAAAGATTTAGAGACTAAGGGACTAGAGCAGGAGCGTAGTATACCCTTTCCCTATGAATTAGTAAATATTATTAACCGGATAAACTACTTAGGTAAAACGGCCTCGACTTAGGACTCTTCGGTATCTATAGCTATCGGTGATGAACTAGCCTCGATCTATAATTATATAGAGCACTATCGGAATGCTAGTTAAATATAAGCTAAAGAGTTTTTTGATAGGATCTACTCACTCCGTGAGTGATTCCGTGCCGGATAAATTTAATATAATCGCTAATATTATCTTTTTAAGAAAACTCATTACTTAGTAACTTAAGCGCGTCTAATTAGCTATAGAGACGAAGCGAGGGAGGCCGTGTAACCTTACGGTTCTATATCCTAGGCCTCTAGAAGGGGGCTACATAGCCAGGAGAATTCTTGATAAATCGAGTGGTTATCCGAACGGCTTTTTTTTCGCCAGATATACCTTACAGCCTAGAGACTCTTATTAAAGACGATATTCTTCACGGGCGAGGCGCTATAGTCGTCCCTTTAAGAGGAGAGGACTCAAAATCCTTTCTCACCTTTTTAACTAAAGTTCGCTCAGACGATCATGGTACTGATATCCGTGCATCTCAAGAACGGTCAAATGGCATTGTGATATTTGAATCGGGCGTGCCAGAACGGGAAAAGGGAGCAGATTGGCGATATAGCTTCACCGGCAGATTTTCTGTTGAAATTCATACGAGATAGCCTCCTTTAGCATCGAATTATGAGGAGCAAGAAGACTGGTTTGGAAATATTGCTCTGAACATCTACTCGGATGGGGTAGACCCAAAATGCTTCCTCACCTTCTCTTCTGGACGATCTTCAGCCGATCGCAAGCCTCATTCGCCTGGTCTAGCAACGACGTACGTGAACTTTCGATAACCGCGGGCACTATTTCTCAGGAAACAGCAGATCGAGCCGATGTTCTGTTGGAAAGAACCTGGCGGTCAGCTCTCATGGGCGGTCACTGAAACGCCAATCATCTCACGACGGTATTCAATCTGAACTCAGACGATCGGAGCGACTTGTCAAAAGAGCTCGAACTTGACTGCGACGTTTGCTTTCCTTCGTTTGTTTATTCCTTGCACTTCAGCATTATTCAACCAATCAATCTTTTCCAAATTGAATCTGTTTGATAAACTTATTCATAATAGTCGATACACATGTTTGAATTGTGAACATGATACATCGGTGCGCATTTTCAATCAAAAAGTAGATGGCTAAAATAAAGAAATGTGGTTTTAGGTGCAAGAGACAATGGGTTGAGGCGTATTGTGAAAATTACTCAGTTCTCTTTGTTTACTCTCAATCTGGGTTTCTAGTTGGTGGAAAATAGGCAAATAGAAGAACGGTCTTATCGAAATTGCTCTTACGTCATTGAGAGGGCCTTAAAGTCAGCGTAAGGTCGAGCAGTAAGATAATTTTCTCCATTTTCATAATAAAATGCGGCAGTGGTGACCAAAAGATTAACCTACTGCGAAATAGTTATTATCTTACCTTTGGATAAGGTCTCATTGCTTCGGGTAGGCTTGCAGGACATTTAGTATGTCGGCCATTTCATGACTTCTCTGCGCCCACTTGACCCGGTTATTATCGTGTAAATCACTAAAGATGAAAATCAATCCTGATCTACTAGTAATATATTCGAAATTGACGTATCTAGCTGCCCATCAAGGTTCCCAAAATTAGTTTCACTTCTAACATCTGATTGAACAAAAGCACAGGGATTCTTCCAAAAACCATAATTTGATATAGCTTTGAGATGAAACCCACTGTTTTCTGTGATACTGATAGACGTGTTCTATATTGTTCGGCTCGTTTGAAACCGGATAGAAGCATTTCTTGAGCATGCTTTTAAAGAAATTACCTTGAATGATCTACAATCTTGAGGTGCTGAGAACTGTACGTGTTTGGTCAGTGAAATATCATTATGTGGAGTGCGTAGTTTGATTTCAACATTTGAACAGTCATGATATCCTCCATGCAATCTAGTTTCCTTCATCAAAAAATTCCGACCTTTCAAGGTTATAGCCACGTTTGACCCTCCATCAATTTGTCGCTTGTTTAATGGTCGGTCAGTTGTTGCCCCTTCTCTCCTTGTCAATAGCTGCTGAATCTATCAAGTTGCTTGCTCGGGATAGTGCCTTTGGACATCGAAGGTAGCGTTCATCTGTTTTGTTGAAGAACTTCTCGGCGAATAGCTTCACCCCATGCCGCAGAGAAAGGCTGACCCCCGATTCCGCGTTCCCGAGCATATTGTAATCTGCCCTCTCGGCTAGAATCAAGACCGTATGATTTCATTACATCCACAGACGACAGAGGGTCTGGAAAACTGTTAATAACGAAGTCTCGCTCTTATGTCTGCAGACTGACCAAAACTCCTTCCTGCTGACCTGCTTCCCATAGCAGATGTCATACCTCCCCCCGAGCTGCCAACATTGACATTGAATTGTACATTTCGGAAGAACCAAGAGGCTCCTTCAAGTATTGTCTGAAACAAACTTGTTTCGGGCGCTTGAGGAGTCTCTGGGCTGCCTTGATGATTTCGGGGAATACCTCGCGAGCCCGTACTTTGATTCTCTTGACAAGATGATTCAGCATTTGAATCACAACTAGCGCTCGACCTCTGTTGGTTGATGTCTCCTCGATGCTGTTCGTTGGATGTAGGTAATGGTCCCGTGCTAGAAGGGGCAGATTGCAACCCAAGAAACCTCCCGGCAGCTGTCTCATGAACGGGGGTACCACATCTGAGTTCCTCGACTATTTTTGGGGTGATTTCTTGGGTTTCCGATGCATTTGTGCCACAGTACCGTCTCATGATCATCTCCCTGGCATGCTGCGCAATCTGTTTTCGACCGGAATCATCAAACCAATCGATGAAGGATTCAGTAATCTCCCCTTCAGCGTTATGTCCTCGTCCGTGTTGATAGAAATGCAGCACGTGGGCTCCAAATGCTTGTCTCCATTTATCTTTCAGGTCCTCAAGTTGGGTCGCGAAATTGGCCTGCTGTGAAGGTCGATCGGTCGTCCAGAACGTAGTAATGAAAGTCATGCAGGGAATGTAGTCATCTCCAGACATGGCACGAAGTATCTGAAGAACTTTGTGATCAAACGAGTCAAAGCGTGGCTGGTTGATGCAAGTGAAGTAAAGGAAACCTGCAATTCGGGAAATATCTAGTATTGCTTGAATACCTCGTACAATCTCTTGAAATATTTCTTCCGTATATGCTGGATCAAAGCCGGGAGTGTCGATGATGAAGCAAGCTTTGTCTTCAATTCTGACTTTGGCAAGCTCACATGTTTGAGTCACTAAAGGGAACGTCAGCCATGCAGGAAGAGTAGGTTTATCGTTTGATCGCATTGAGAGCTAACCTGGGTCAAGGGACTGCTGCGGATGTCCACGTAAACCGGAGACATCTTCCACATAAGAGGACTTTCCGACTCCAGGCCGCCCAATACAGACCAGGACTTTTGGAGGCGATTCAGGGTTCCTATTCAGTGTGTTAGGAAAAGGGCTGGTGATGATGAAAAGGAGATCGCACTCAAGAGCTAGAGCTTTTAGTTGGTCGAGAATTTCTTGTGTCTGTCTTTCAAACGGAACAGGTTCCATGGTCTTTGATATGCCAATCGATGTGAAGAATGTCGAGAAGACGGCTGGGATAGGAGAAAGAAATAAGTAATATCGAGGGGCAGTGTGAGATCTTATATACCACGGGACACCTCAAACTATTCGAACAATTTTAACTACGCCGTGTCGGACTTTTCGTCTCAACCTGTCACACTTTGTATTGGGGCTGTGATTCCTAACAGCATGGAGGCTGAGTATGTAGCGCCCGCCTCACTTTGGAGGCAGAACCACTGTTATAATTGCTATCTTATTTTTGGACCTTCTTAATTTAGCTTTTGGAAGATTTGACAGGCTCTCAACTCTCGAGAAGGCAATCAAGCTCCAGTAAAAGGCGCAACCAGCAAGCCTATCACATTGAACATGTAGCACGTCGTGGATGTTCAGTGAAATTACTTGGAAAACGAGCCGCTAAAGGTGCCGGACCGTTTCAATGAGGAATATGGCTTCAGCGCCAGGATCTACTGGTGAAACTGAGAAATAGTTATTTCGTGACGAAGGCAACCGCCCCACCCACAAGACGATACGCCGCTTTCCCGCATCACCCGCCCATCACGCAAACTCTGAGGCACGAACAATTTTCGGTAATCCCAACCAATTACTGACAGTCAATTACTGAGCATCGCAAAGATTGGCACGCGATTGATGGCAGCCATAACAGAGTTTAATATGCTCAAGCTTGACCTATCAGCTTCGGGTAAACTATTTGCCTACCTCACTGAACCTTTTGCTGATCGCTTATAGCAGACGGGGATTGAAGCAAGTAAGGCAAGGCGGGAAGCAAGGCTATGTTTGAAGTGATGCTTAACATACTGGGGTTAAGCACCAATCGTTTCGCATGCACTGAAGGATTTGCCAACCTCATTTGCGAACGAGTCATGCGTTTAGTCATGGCGGCGCGAATGCCGCCGTTTTGATTGGCCGATGTCTCCCAAAATCGAAGCGATGCTGAATTCGCGTCATGAGAACAAAGCCCTCTTTGGTTTGCTGCTCGAACCAACGTGGAGCCAGGTTCTTCTGCGCGCAAATGAGGCTCATGAGCAGCCCCGTAGTGGTACTGAATAAAGGGCACCGAGAGCGAATTCATGTACTACATATGGAGGTCCATACATAGCCAAAGAATTTGATAAATTTGCCTGGATCTCTGTTTTCTTTCATCTATAAATGGGATCAATTACCTTAGGAACTGTCTTCCCAGGATATCAATATTTTTCGTCGAGAATGCCAAACTTTGAAATGGAAGATTACACTGTGGTATGGATCGCGCCATTGGCCCTAGAAGCAGCGGCTGCTTTACAGCTGCTAGATGAGCATCACGGGGCACCAGCCCGCAAAAGTGGCCAAACATTAGTGTATCACCTCGGCTGTATGGGAGATAACAACGTTGCTGTTGCCTGTTTTCCGGCCGGCGAGAGCGGAATCGGAGTAGCGGGAACCATTGCTGCTGGAATGAGACGCGATTTTCCCAACCTGGAGGTCGGTTTACTAGTTGATATTGGCGCCGGTATTCCATCGTTTGAGAATGATATTCATCTGGGAGATGTCGCTGTCGCTGTTCCTGATGAGGATAATCCAGGGGTGATTGGATATGACTTAGTCAAGATTGAGCCTGAGGAAATACGCCTGAAACAGTGGCAGAATGCAAGTCACCCTATGCTGCGATCTGCGATATCGACCCTAAATGCAGGCTTGATAGCCTCTGAAGGAACAAAGTTCACGCGCCTTTCAACACCCTCACAACCATCTACTTGCTCTGAGCACATCCGACAGCCCCGGCAATTTCCTATCGTGCATCATGGCACTATTCTCTCTGGAAATAAAGTCATTAAATCGGCACGGTATCGTGAGGAACTGAGACTGAGATATAAAGCTATTGCTATTGAGATGGAGGCAGCGGGTATAATACCCTACCAGTGGCTGTGATTCGAGGAATTAGCGACTTTGGCGACTCTGAAAAGAACGATACATGGCAGCCGTACGCATCCGCAACAGCGGCAGCGTATGCAAAAGGGTTACTTCAAGTTCTTGGTCCACTCAAAACAGTTCCAAGTGAGTGTACTCAATTTTCTTATGAAGGATATATGCTGACACACTTAAGACCTCTTACGAAGAAGACCTGATACGACTCAACTGAGCCATAGCCGCCTGGTAGACGTGCTAGAGGAACGGTCTAGACAACTGAACATAGATAATAACTGGAGAAATTCTGTCGTGGATCTTCTTCGGCTTTTTTTCCTTGATCCATCTCTAGAAACGCGTTCACGTCTGGCGCGCAGATGGAACGTCTTCGTTGGTGAGGACGGTGACCCAGTGCGAAACATCGCTCTGTATGGGCTCATCATGAATGCCCTTGCAATGAACCATGGAAAAGTTCCCTCTTCGCTCGTAAGAGCTCTATCTGTCGATGAATATCGTTGACGTACGGTGAGTAAAAGAAGCTTTTTGGATGGTCGAGCGAAGGAAAGTCATCTACGTGCGATTTGTGATTTTACTTTCCTCAATAAAACTAGTCCTACTTTAAACTGTCCGTGTAGCCTTCGCCATATCGTACTACCAAGCCCGGTTTCAAGTAGCAGTGTAATTCTCAAGCGAATATATCATGCATCAAGTGGGGGGCAGGGCAATTGGCCTGACTAGAGATACAGCAGGCCGACCCCACGCAGCGTGGAGTACCCGTTAGTGCTAACTACGTAAGAGAAAGAATTGTGGGGACACAGGAGGACAGCTCCCTTGCTACAAGACTACACAAAGGAACAAAAAGATTGCCAGTTGTTAGTCGAGACTCACCAGGCATATGAAAACATACAGAACGGTCAAATAGCATTGTGATATTTGAATTGGGCATGCCAGAATGGGAAAAGGGAACAAAATGGCGACACAGCTTTATCGGCCAACTTTCTATTGAACTTCATAACTTCTTTAGCATCGAATTATGAGGAACGAGGAGACTAGTTTGGAAATATTGCTCTGAACATCCACTCGGATGGGGTAGACCCAAAACGCTTCCTCGCCTTCGCTCCCGCACTATCTTCCGCTGGTCACAGCCCTCACTTGCCTGCGCCTGCACCTGGTGACAGCGTACCAGCACATTCGACGACTACCAAGACTATTTCCCAGGAACTAACAGATCAAACTTTTACCTCCGATGGAAAGAACTTGCCTTGTGGCCCCCTTGCTGTACCATTAATGAAACCCAAATTACCACATGCGGACGGTGTTTATTCTGAACCCAGGCGGTCGAAGCGACTGGCCAGACGAGCTCGATCTTAACTGCAAAATTTCAGTTTCGTGTTATTTTTTTTGACTCAATGGTGCCAAATACGTACTCTATGACATTGTTTGGGGGTTTCAGTATTATCCAACCCTGAGACGCTCTTAAAAACATGCTTTTATACTTGATTCGGGTAAATTACTGAACTGCATTTGGGTGTCACTGTATTCGAAGAAGGGAATGTATGGCACTCTGTAATCTTACTACGGTACGGAGTATTGGATAGTCCAGACCATATAGCTTATAGCAGTGTCACTGGTGGTAAAAAATATGACAACGTGACCATTGAGGTAATTTCATAGGCTAATGAGCGGAAAGCACAACTTTGTCTATTATGCTAAAATAGCTGCTCCCAATTAGGGGTTAGTGCCTACACATTATAGTTTGACTCAAACTCAACTAGAGAGAATTTTATAGGCCCTTTCGAAACTCTTGTCTACAATACAAATATCAAAACCGAGTCTAGAAAGCGAACATCTTTCGGTGAATTGAGAGATCCATACCATTAGGAATGTCGTCATCGGCTCGCTCGATGCTTTGTTGAATGTTTGTTATATAAGCCCTTATCCACGCGAAAGCCAATTTTCCCTCAAATCACTTCGTTTGTGAAGTCAATCACTTGTGCCTTCTCGAGGATGCCATCGAGACCCCGGACGAATTCTTGATGTACGGGATCATCGCGAACATAGTAATCTCGATCCGCAGCACTGTCGAATTGAACAATAAAAGCGTGCGAAATATTATTCTGTTTTTCAAATGGAACAATAGAACGTCAGCAAAAGCCCAACAAGGAGTACCAATATTCCAAAATATCTATGTACTGTCTCGGACGAAGGATGAAGCCAGCGCACCTGAAGTCCTTCAATTGAGTTATCTAAACCACCAAAAGACGACTTGATGTAGGGCTTCTGAGACAATGGGTGGAGACAATTATCCTTGAGTGCAAGCATCCGTGAGCAGACCTGTTTATAAACGTCAGCCTGCCTGTGACTCCTTTCCGCAACCAAAGGTGCTCATGATAAACTAACCTCGTTAATGACATCAGCGCCGACGCTTGATTTAAATTGGAAGAGAACAACATGCGTAATCGACATTTCAGGCAACTGCGGATGCTGAGATGATGTATAATATATAAAAAAGACACACGAGAAGATGGCAACGAGTATGAGTAGGGGTGATGCTAAAACCCGCATTTTCTGGGAGTCAAGGTTGGGAAGTGACAAACTTAAAGCGGGGTAACACCGCAAGGTAACCGAAATCATCACGTGAGTAAAGAAGACGTCGTTGAACACAGATGGAACATAATAACGCTAGACCAAAATTACACCATGACATGGGCAACATTCTTCGTTATACCGGCTGTTCCAGTTCCGACAAGTGTGGAATCTGCGGACTGGCGATTGACTTCCCGCGCGGTCGGGCTCCATCGGCTAGATGAATCAGTTTACTAACTATAAGCGTACTAGCTAACTACGGGAGGTGATGATTTTGGTTGGTCCGGATTATCGTTGTGGCGGTGCCCCCAGGAACTAGAGTCGAAATTGCTCCACCCTTGGCAACTTGTCGTCGCAGTTGAAATATATGGGTCATATGATGAGGTCTATTGCGGAACCCCTTTTGCTGTAAGCAACCAGAGGATAAGCAATCAGAGGAGTTTATACAGGCGCCCCGAAGCAATGTACCAATGAAATTATTGATGTCGACGCTAGCCAGACGGCTTGGTTTCAAGTTCCCGCTCGGCCCCACCCTCCCCTGTCAACATGTGGTTTATGGTCACCCACGAACCACAATTGGGCCCAGCTGAACTTCAACTGGCGATACCTACGCGCCCGTAGCCCCTGCCACCATGACATGGCCTGCAAGTTGGGGGCCGAACGCAGTAAATTATTAAATGTCGTTTTGCCTACACCGTGATAAAGTGATGGAAGGATTCAGATTCTTCGAAGCTTGACGCAATGGCATCCCCAAGGAAAAGAATGGCAAATTCCCAGTCAATGCACACCCATGTTTTCGTCCCATTTAAGATTACCCGCTCGCAAAACCGTCAGTCACTCTTTTTCACAGTACATATCACTGAGTTTACTCTAATTAACAACTTTCAGGCATCCGGATCTCGCCTACTGGAAGAAGCATTCGCCGTTCACCAGCAGTCGTGAAGATTACACCTAATCATCGAGATGAACGCGATGAAACCCAACAAAAGTCACCCACCGGGAATTTCTCTCACCCTTATGCCGATATGACTTGGTACAACGCGTGGCTATCTCAGCAGCTGGAGAACCTTCCATATTGTCTGAGGGAACTACGTGTCGGGGGTGAAAAACTTCAGTCCAAGCAGAGTTTAGTACCCCTTTCTGGAGTGATCGAGGAATTTGCACGAGAAAATGACGGTGTTTCTATTGACGAAATATTAAAACATCTACGAGACTGCGGGTTATTTGATTCCTTGGGAGAGTCGATGGGGGCTCAGAGACTTCTTATTTTCGCTACCCTGGGATGGCAATCCATGTTATATCAGGCTGCTTTCAATGTTTGTTCAGTCCAGGAACTCGCCATTCATAGAGACTCCCATCAGCCACAATCAGGTCTGGTTTTTGATACGTACAGGGTAGCAGCCGACTTATCTGACCGCCCTCTGTCGGTTTTGCTTAAGGCATTCGGTAATCTACTTCCTGCTCGAGCTTCAGGAATTGCACAATTTGCAAGCGAAACGGGGAAAAGGGCATCCAAGTGGCACCCACTATACCCCAATGAAACCAACGCCTTCCTGCTCCATGTGTTGCTTCATGTCAACATACAGTGGGTAGACTCATTATCCTTGCACCTGGATTACGACCAGTCAAGCAGAACTTTATCACTTTTCGCCTATCCATCTTTCTGCTTAGAAATGCTTCACAACCGCGGCGTTATATATTCATTTGCTAGCGTCGAAGGTCCATGTGCAGACCCACGCGCTAATAATGACGACATTTCACAATACCTGAAGGAGGTCCTTCTAACTTATCGTCTTCTATTCGGGCAGTCAGCAGCGTCGAGAAAGTTCTTCCGTCGGACGTTCATTCCATCAGAAGTCCAAGGCTGTCAACTCGATACCTTGCTCCCTGAACTTTGCTCCAAGAGCCGACTCGACTGGCCCTCAGATTATATGCCGGTGGATCGGTCGGTCTACTTTTCGGCTCGAGATTTCCCGGTGTTATATGATAGAATCGAGTTGATTGCGTATGAACTCAAGGATTCAAAACCAAACTCATTAAGTGGGCTTCTTCGTGATCGGCGGGATACTTTACAGTACTGGACGTTCTGGCTTGTATCGATAATTGGTGGGATCAGCATTCTTCTAAGTCTGATCCAAGTGATATTACAAGGGATACAGCTGGCACAAAGCTAATGGTGTACTCCGCAAGCAAATTCTTGCCTCGTCAGGGGGGTTTCCTCCAACAGGATGGTAACATTCCACACGCCTCATGGCACACTGCCTAACTTAGATCTTATCCTAGATCTCAATAATTGTAAAGTCTGGCAGTGGCTTATGCACCACTAGTCAGAGTATACTTGCATCCGTAATCCACAAACATCTGCCAGCTGTAGGTTTGCATAACGGTCACTGGTGATTGGAGTATTGATAGTCAAACAGGCGTTATTATTGACTTCATCGACGGGCCGAATTTCTGGGGTAGTCACAGTACCGCTGCAAGACGGTGCTCTAACGTGATAGATAGCCACTAAAAGATGAGAAGTTGTGCAATCAAGTCTTCTTAAACCAGTTCTGCTTTCTTCGTTCAAACGCTAGCTTCCGGTATCTCGGCGGACAGATGTAAAAGATAGGCACGCTGGCTACCAAAGCATCCATCCGACGAGGTTCATGAACGACTCATCAGTATCCTCGGCGAGAGCTTCTGTTCCACGAATCTTATCTCGCACATTCTTGGCCTCCATTCTGAGTTCTTCAGCCCTATGCTTGTCTCCGATTTCATCCTCGACCCTGGCCAGGAACCATAGTGCTCGGGCTAGATGTCCTTGCATCTCGAAAACGTCCTCACTAGCTTCTACCACTGTTCGTAACAGTTTCGCAGCTAAGACCACTTCGCCGTCGCTTTCTAACATTTGAGCAACTGAAAAAATGGAGTCAGCTACCCTAGGTCCTTTATTCCCAAAAACACCCCTCCGGATAGAAATTGTTCGTGACGCAAGCTGCTGAGCCTCCTCTTTCAAACCTAGTACATATTTTATCCTCGCCAGAAGAATGATATCCCCACTATGTTTCGGGTACTTTGAATTTATGACTTGTTCTTCAGTCAGTCCCTGCAATTGCCAGCAACATGCGAGCGACTCTTGTGCTTCTTGCGGCTGTCCAGCTCTGAGCTGGGTCATGGCATATATTGCTTTGGTCCTAGCCATATGTAGCGGGTTGTGAGCGTGATGTATGTCGGCCGCTTTTGACAAGTACTTAAAAGCTTCGGAAACCATCCCTAGCTCAGTGTAGCTGCAGGCGATGGAATCATATATGTCCGCAATTGGAGGAGAGTTGGGTTCTTCTAACTGTTCCCTTGCGCAGAGCGCTTTTTGATACGCAGATAGTGCCGATTTTGGCTTTGCCATGTCTAGGGCCACGTGGCCTAAAAGCCGGCATGCCTGTGCATAGTTTCGAGAGTGGGGGTCAATTTGGAGCTCCAAACCATATTCTAAGAAAGCCTGTGCAGTGGTTGGCTGCTCCTTTTCCCATAGGTATCTTTGGAAATTCTGTCAGCAATACCCTCGGCTGTAACCACAGTTTCCAAATCTTCACTTACGTTCCTGCACGAAAAATAAGTTCTGCAAATAGCTCCGAATCATTAGGCACCAGGCGCTTTGTTTCAGCTAACTTCATTAGCCAGCTTATATGCGGGAGAACAGCGCTACATGTCTCCCATGATGCCCAACCATGGCCCTGTTGATGAGACCTCTCATTCCAGGTATTTGGAAAGCTGGATGACAAAACTTGAACAGCATAGTCAAAATATATCAAAATGTCTGTCGAAGATAACCGTGAGAAGACGGTAAATTGGATCAGGCGGTGCACGGATATTGCCTTGGACGTTGACGAGCGATTGACGAGCGAGCCTCTGGTAAGACCAATTACTGCATCTCCAAAACTAGTCCAATGTGAGCGAGAAACATTCAAGTGTAGGAAGTAACCCATACTCGAAATCATCCATCAAGAAAAGCAACTTAGGCTCGGTGATACCGGCCTTTTCGTTTGATAGTATCCATTCTGGGATTATGTCCGGATCGAAGAAGGCAAGCACATCCAGTAAGACTCTTGATTCGGACGACAGTTTCTGAATTGAAATATTCCAGACCGTGTTTAAGGTGTGCTCATATTGCATTGGTGCTGCAGACCTTGTAAAAATTTTCTCGGCCGACTTTGTGTAGACCGGCAGAAATTCGAGATAGGAATAGCCACGATCGCTTATGAATTCGCTGACTTGAGCCATCGCTAGAGGGAAACAGCCAAGCAGATCACATAGCTTCTTTGCTGCTGCAGAATCATCATCGCTCAATGGTGGTCGACCAGTCAATGAAAAAAGTACATCCAACCCTGTCTCAGCCGTAAAGCATCCAAGATCGATGACTTCTGTAGTCCTCTTGACGGCTAGTGACTTGGACCGACACGTAATAATGACAGATCCTTTGGTGTTAGCCGGCCAGATCTGTTCGAGAATATCATGATCCTCAACGTTATCAAAGATCAGAAGGAAGGCTTTCTCCGACACATTCAACCAATCCCTCACTTTTTGAATTGATTGGTAATCGTCTTCCGTGGCTTCTGATTTTGATATACCAAGTTTCAATGCAAACTTCGCCAAAGCTTGGGTAAGTTTGATTTGTGTTTCCGCTGGGATCCATAACACCACATCATAGAGCTTCAGTGAAGTGTTTGCGTAGTGCAGCGCAAGTTGGGTTTTTCCAACACCACCGGTTCCATAGATTGCGACTACCTTCAAATGCTCACTGTCCATCTCTGGTTGAAGAGCTCTTTTCAGAGCCTCTTTCTCGGGCGATCTTCCAAAGAATCTGAGGTTAAGGCCGTACGGTATCATGTGACACGGGAGATTCATTGTCTGAGACTGGGATCCTTTCAGCCCTTCGATTGCCTCGATTGTGTCAGCCGTATGGGCCTCCCTTGTAAGGCGTATCATATCAGCTGTTTCATCCACCGCCCTGGAGTAACGACGAATATTCGAAATGACCTTCGGAAAATCGCTGCTGAAATGTAACCAGGCGTTTCGATTAGGAGCGAGGTTTGGATTGTTCCTGAAGAATGTGATCGAATGTGCGCAGAACACGATAATCTCAGTATAGGTGGCCAAAAGAGCGTCTTTCAATTCTGTAGTGGCTGGGAGTTCCTGTTCATATCTGCGAAACCTAGGCAATGCACGGCCCAATTCTTCAAGCATATCGAGAACCTCAGGGAGGACTGGCCGCGCAAACTAATTCTACCAGTAAGCTCAGTAAGGTGCTTCGGATGAACTGTTATTCTCTACCTTCATAATAAGACTGATAGAACCCCATATAATAGCAGCAACCTGACCGTTCAACCCTAGAGCCAGCGTCAGAACGGCGGCGAAATCGTTCAGGCTAAAGAGTATTGGCTCGAGCCGACGCAAGAATCTTTTCCATGTCCCCAGCGCTTGAGAATCTGCGGGGGCAACGTCGTGAATTTGTTGAAGGAGGTCATCCGGGCTATGAATGCCCCAGACGTCTTGATCAATCGCAGGAGCCCTGACCCCGCCCTTCCTGAGTTCGTCGTAGTACCGGTCAATGGCCGCCTGCCATATGGGACTGGTATTACTTCGATCAGGTAGGGTGCGAGGGTCCAGAGAAAGCTGCGACACCCGGTGGACTTGATTATCTGCGCTCATTTTTCAGAGTCCTTGGAAAATTCAACGGAAAAACTTAGGAGTTGAGTGTGCGGGGCTGGCACTGTTCCATGCGTAATTTGTCTTGGGGCCCAACTCAACCTAGCTCTTCCTAGGGTCCCATTGGCAACTCCAACTCTCCCGTAGTAAACAGTCAAGAGTGGGGGGTCCGAATTAATCAGCAGACGATGTGCGCGGTGAGTCACGTGGGAAAGGGGCGTCTTCGGGTTCCAGCAGCACCATGCTTCTCAGCCGATCACCTGAGAATAACCAATCCACATTGCGCTGGATGCAAGGCCTTCAGGATACGTTATCATCAATGGACACCATCCTTCACTGGAGCTCATCAAAAAGCACAGTTTGGGGGATACCGTGAGTGACACATGGAAAAAAAGATCAGATGCCTATTGCAGTCAAGTGGAAAGCACAGTTTTGGGGATACCGTGAGTGACACATGGAAAAAAAGATCAGGCGCCTGCTACAGTCAATTGGAAGGCATGATTTTCGAGATACCGTGAGTGCCGTATGGAAAAAAGGCTCAGGAGACTGTCGCGGTCAAGTGGAAAACACGGTTTTGGGGATAAGGTAGACTAGCACGGTTTTGACTATCGTATTATAGGTATGCTTAGTTAGTGGCTATTCGGGCACTCGGGAGTCGTCGAAATGAGAAGATAGGGTCGATTTCTCTGGAAATGACAAATCTTTTCCTATTCTATCAATTTCGGTAATTCAAAATTAGCAAAGAGGTCACGTCTTCCAAAAGATACAGACTTTACGGGACAATTTGGAGTTGCTCTATCGAGAACAATGGAAAAATATGAGAGATATTATCCAGCCGTCACCGCAATAGGCTCACAGGGCAAGTACAGATTAGAAGGCGGTGGTCCTTTATCGTCGACCATTTATCGTACGGAGCAGTTCTTCTCGCAGGTAAGAAGATTTTCCACTATTATGTGAGCAAAAGGTTGTTATTCGAGGCTAAACGAGACAGCATCTAAAACATCCAGTAATCATAGGCATGACGTTCCGTGGAAATAGTTCTATATCTATATTACTGAAAATTATCCGAGATCTCTCTATATATATAATAACGCCAATAGACTTGCCTAGAATTCGCCGATACATCACTCTTAACCTCTCGTAGGAGCATTAGAGGAATTAAGCGAACTTGAGTCACTAATTGACTAGGGACGAAAAGTGATGAACCTAGAAGTAATCACGGATAATGCAAGGTTAGATTGAGAATTATTTACCAGGACTGACGCAAGATAAAAGCAGCAATCGCAGTGTCTCGGGATGTGACTTTTCTAAGTCTTTTATGGATCTATTACGAGTCCTGCCAGTATCTAGCGGTGGCCGGATGGTGTAGTTGGTTATCACGTATCGTTAACACCGATAAGGTCCTGGGATCGAACCCCAGTCTGGTCATTCTTTTTGGCTCTTTTCACGGATATATACAGTATGGGCCCATGTGGAGTATAGTGAAAGGGAAATACAGTTTTTTTGAGAAAATATAGATTCAGAATTGGACGCTCAATTCTCGTCTCTCATGAAAATTGTGGAGATATTCTCCACCTTGTTTTCTACGGATTTCCCATTCTAAAGAAGGTTGACAGTATCTCCACTTTAGAAAACCACCGATCGGACAGTAAATGATCTATGGATATTTATGCTAGCCCGCGAATAATATTCTATCCGCCACTGAGGTATCAGCTGGTCATCACTAAATATACGAGGGCTCAAAGATTAGTCTGATAGCTAATGACGGTACGAGGCTTCGTAAGTGCGTCATCGATTTCGAGCTCCCCACCTACAGTCCAAATCATTTATTTGAGCCGACCTAAACCATGAAGAAATATGGTCCTGTTACAGAAGCTCTTTTCTATCTCAAACAGTCCATAAAGGATAGTCAACTATGACCGAGGCAAATGAAATCATCCGACCGTTTCTCTTTGCGGTTCGCGTGGCCCTATTGATCAGTGCGGTAATCGTCATGGGTATTACCGCGTGGGCGGTCACCCATCTAAAGAACTATCGGACAATCTTCACCTTGGTCGTCGCAGTACTCAGCACAGTTCTTTATATTCCCTCTGTCTTTACTTCATGCATGCAGCGCAACCGTGGATATATGATTCCACTGGATATTGTCTTCTATGCGCTGTAAGTCAGACCCTACGTCACGTCGGGCAAGCTTTTGCTCTGAAGCTAATCCTCAGATGGAACGCTTAGATGGCTAGCTGCTTTTATATTCGTTGCGCAAACCAATGGCACCTTGAGTTTTGACAATGCCGGGTGTCGTTACTATGTTTGGGACTTGAACAGTGGCTGCGCGAAGCGAAATGCCATCGAAGCGTTTACTTTTCTGTCCCTGTTAGTCAGCACCACAGTCCCTCGCCTGATTTAGTAGTCATTCTAATAGATATCACAGCTTCTGGACCCTCTGTGGCTTATGCCTGGAAATCTTAAACGTTTATCTGCAGGGCCGATCTGTGGATACACCCTCAGTTCCTCATCCCGAAAAACCAATCCATGACGGTCCTGAATCTTCTACTCCAGGTGATACCGAAAGAAATCGTACAGTTCCTACTACGGGACATGTACCAGCAATGAATGAAGAACAAAATGGAGTTTGAAATGCGCATTCTCCGTCGCCTTTCAACGTTGAGTCAGAGTCTTTATGCTACGGAGTCGAAAGTCGGTCCTTGTTTAAAGTGGTTTCCTCGCCTAGGTCTATATTTACTTACTCAATTGTTCTACTATTTGCGAATGGATCAGTAAAAGTCTCAGCGTCTTTGTTTTCTGATATTCTTGTTCGCAGTCGTGGATTTTTATTTCTTTGTCAGCCTAGCAATATTCAATTCACCCTAAAATAAGAGTAATGCTTTCCTCTCGACCGCCGTCAGATCCCTATTTCTATGTGTATAGCTTTTAGATATAGAGAAAAACATTAAGAATTACTATCATTGCAGGACCTAGATATGGATTAGACCAACTAAGGAATTTGAGGTTCGTAGGTACCGTACCGGTTTGCCTGCTGAGCTAAATAACATACTTGCGACGTTCGCGTTTGAGTACTGCTTATTATAATTGATGGTGTCATCGACACCTACGCACAGGAAGCAGAAAGGAAGGGGAATCTGAATCAATGTCTCTATCTAGACTATGATGAAGATAGGTCTAGAGAAGAAGAAGGAAAAGAAGAAGAGAAAGACCTAAATAGGTCTGCAAGACAAAGAACAGCGTCGGTCCTGAAAAGAACCATCAAACCTGCAGAGCAATCTATGTAGGTGTAAACGGGAGGACGTATGACAAAACGATCGAATACTCAAGGTCAAGGTCGAGTAATCAATAATTATCAGGTCTCAATAGCCTTCATCCTTTCTCATAGAACAAATGAAACCTTCGGGGGAACTAGACCATTATACCTTAGGCGTGTGGGCTATAAGATACATAGCACTTTAGATGATCAGGCTTCAACTTGATTTGAACCAACCAATTCTTTATGGTGTAACATTATAGCCTTAATTTTCCTTGTATTGTACTTCAAGAATCGTACATGTGAGACTAAGCACTAGTGATGTGACAAAAATGTAGCTGCTAGAGATTCAGAGAGGAGCATCATAGTTGATGACTTGTCCTTGAGCGTTTGGTCATGTATGGTTTGATCGTCCTCGTTCGCAGGCTTATGATAGAGCCGTGGATATGATATGCTAGACTGGGATGCGATGGGGTGCAAGAGGACGCACGATACGTTACAGCGTTGATGGCGGGGATAGGGGCTCCTATACAACGATGGAAACATCACAGTGGTGGGCGAGAATGCCACGCTATCGGGACAAAAGAGCACGCATAACCGTAATTTTTCCATAGATACCCCCTTATCACGTATCATTAACACCTATAAGGTCCTGGGATCGAGCCCCAGTCTGGTCATTCTTTTTGGCTCTCTTCACGGATATACATGGGTCTATGTAGGGTATAGCGAAAAGGAATTCCAGTTTTTTCTTGAGAAAATATAGGTTGCGGCGGGTCCAATGCCTACAAACAGAAGTTAGACTTGGGATGGAATTCGGTGAGGTAGTTATCCCATATTCTAAAGAGCACCTAAAGCGGTTTAGCGCGCCTACTTAGGGTTAGCGCTAGTTACGGCCTCGGACACTATGAAAATCGTATGTCAAAGTCATATATGACTCGTGCTAGTTATCATAAGGCAAGAAAAAGCTCACGAGTAAAGTAGTTCGCGCTATTTTCAACTTATCAAGTCTAGTCTAGACAAGAGTGAGCTGACTACGATACCCTCTCCCTCTCCGCTATCCACTAAAGAGTTATCTCAATGCAACAACAAGTCACCAAATTACGAAGGAGAAGTGAAATAATTGTCTATAAACAAGAAAAAACGTTTATAATATTATACAGGACTCAAAATGTCAAGTCCTGATACGTAAATAAAAAAGTTCAAAAAGAATGGTAGAAGAGAATCCAAAATCCCCTCTAATACTGACAAGGACAATCCACAGTATCATATGTCAGAACCACCGGCGTCAACGTATCCTCATTCGTCCCATCATTCCAAACAGGGTGCCAATCTCCACTGTACGCGCGGAAATCCGTGTAACGCAGTGCCACTGGCGAGGTAGAATACCAACCACTTCCACAGCTGAGGATACCAGAGGAAGAATCCTTTGAACAGCTTTGCTTAGAGCTCGAGGAGGAGAAGCTGTCGAATTCTACCCACATTTCCGTCGTGGGGATGAGGACGTCCATTGAGGGGAGCGCGACGAGGTCGCCTGCGCAGGTCAGGTAGAAGACACCAACCTCGTAGCCAGCGCCCCAGCCACCCCAGACTGGGGAAGAGCTGTTGTTGGACAGGTAGAGCTGTTTTCCGTTGATGTGGTCGGGCCCGCTTGCGGTGATGGTGAAGCAGGACACTTGGGTTTGGAGAGGGCAGCTGGCCGCAGTGGTAGCTGTGGCGGTCTGAGTCCCGGTGACAGTGGTCGCGGTTTGAGAGACAACGACGCGAGTGAAGGTCTCAGTTTCGAGAGCGCCGAGGGCATCGACGGTGCTGTATACGGTATTCACGACAGTGCCGGAGTAAGCGGTTGCCGTGGAGGTGTAGAAAGTTTTCGTGACTGTGCCTGTGGCGACCTGGGAGCAGGCGAGGGAGATCTTGCTGGAATCCCAAGTAGAGATCATGGCAGGTTCTGCGACGGTGCGCTTGGCGAGGTCGGCGGCCATGGTGGGCTGGGGAGCGACAGCATTGTTGTTGTTGGTGGAACGCTTCTTGATGGGGGAGCCAGTTTCAAGGGCTCGCTTCTTCATATAGGAGTCTCCGAGGGATTGAGAGCCAGACACAGTCACATAGGAGGTTGCGTCGACCGTGGTAGTCTGTGTGAAGACAGTAGTGACGGTGGGGTACTCGTAGACGGTAGACGTGGTCGAGATGGTGGTTGGCTTGGTGGTCTGCGTGGTCGAGAGCCCAGTGCGTGTAGTGATGCCGTATGCAACGGAGGTGGGAGCCACATAGCCGAGATAGGAGGTACAGAAGGCACCACCAACGCTCCGAAGGGAGCTGACCTCGTCCGCTGTGGGGATGTCGTTGGGGACATTGAAGCACTTGGTTTGGCCGGCAACATCGCCGGACTGGGAGAGAATAGTGGTGGAGCCACCAGTGAAAAGAACTTCGTTGTTCACGCTGGAGTAGGAGGTCAACTCAAGCTCGCCAGCACTGCAAGTTTCGCCGTCGTTTAGGACAATGGCAGCATTGAAACCGATGGCCGTGTCAGAGTTGATGTAGACGGGCTGATGGCCGTAGGGTGCGTTCTCGATCACCACCTCAATGGCGAGCGATGATCTCATGATAGGCACAAACGAGACGTCTGCAGAGGTGGAGAAGACTGGGTAAGTGTACTCCACGGTGGGCGACCAGTTTTTAGCCTGGGATGCGGCATTGTTGGCAAAGTCTAGGTAGACCGAGCCACTGTCCACGCTGATGGTGGCACCCGCAGTGAAGTCGACGGCTGCGGTGGTTGACCACTGGACTCCTAGACTGTACATCAATGATGGTGTGATGGTGAACTCTCCAGGGACCGAGATTGGCTCGTTGAACTGGATGGTGTCGAAGTTATATGTCCATTCCCCAGACCAGGCATCCGTGGTCTCGAGACCCATGACGAGGTTTCCGGTCCAGCTCACCGTAGGCGTCATGAATGCACTCATGACCTTACCCGAGGAAGTGCTAATCATGACACTGCCCACGAATTCAAGGTTGGAGATGCTCAGACCACAGTCAATGCAGCTGAGTGTGCCGACGGAGGATTGAACCAACGGCTGCGCTGGGAGTTGATAGTCTACACTAGCAGTGTAGGTGTAGTTCCAGTAGGTCGCGACGACGACGTCAAGGTAGCAACCAGTCCAAGTACACTCGATCGCGTCACGGTTGGCGTAAGCCTCCTCGACTGTATCATACAGATCTTTCAAATCGCAAATGAGCTCTGCAAGAGCCCCCAGTTCCTCGTCAAGGGCGTCAAGAATTTCGCCAGCGAGGTCACTGCAGGCACCATCCCAGAGCAACTCCCACCACGACTCGTCATCGAGCCCACTGCGCTTGGCAAGCATGCCACGACGGTGGCGGTTATGCAATTTGGGGTGGTAGGACCGACCGGGGAAATGAGGCGTCCGCTTAGTGTAGACGGTCGTCGCTGGAACATAAGCACCATTGGAGCAGTGGCCAGCGAGATCGCTGGCGGTTTTGTTCCACAGAGAATCTGGTGATGGAAGGCCTGCATTCTGTAGGGCATCCTCGAGCGAGGCTTGCTGCGTGGAGTTGGAGTCTGGGTTATAGACTGGATCCGTGGCATTCGCAGTGATAGCGGGCATGGTGACGGCGATGTTACCATTGGCATCATATGTATTGTTGCGAGTCAGATAAGCAACGACATTCTTCTCCTCGGGGGTCAGATCCTCGTAGGAGACCGAGCCATTGCTCACAGCTGCAGAGCTGCTGGCTGCGGGATAAGATGCTGTACAGGATGGAGTGTAGGAGACGCTGGTAGAGTTCACACGTCCGACGCCGTAGGCGACCTCCATAGTGTTCGAGACATCGGCCCAAACCTTGGTCTTGACATCAAGGGTGATTGTGAGGCTAGAAATGTCCGCGGTGTATGAAGTGACCATGTAGACTCCTCGTTGAGAGGCCGAGTTGCAGCTTCCGGAGTTGGTGATCAGAATGAAGTTCTTCGTGGGCCACTGGCTGACAATGTTGAAAGCAGCAGCAGTGGTCACTTTGACGGTCAAGCTATTGCCAGAGCAAGTCACCTTGGCAATCTTGTACGCATTCTCTAGGGTTACCTGGGGATATAGCATGTAGTAGGTCACCTGAAGAATGGTCGAGCCCGAGGGGCTAGCATAGTAGAGAGTCGCATACATCGAGGGAGACAAATCGAGGAGGGCGGAACCATCGACACTGGGGTCAAGAGCTGGCAGCACAGCGGTGCTTAGTTCCGGGTCCGAGTTGGTAGAGCACTTGGGAATAGCCGTCGAAGAGGGCGTGCCCGAGCTAACCGGGCTGAGGCTGGTTGTCGCAGTACCTCCAGGGCACAGTTGAGCTAGAATTTGTTAGTCTTCATCTGCGTAGTTCTTTTTCATCGGGACCAATGGATACATACAGTACTTGACAGCGGCAATAGTAACGGGAGCGCAGCTAGAGGGTGTGTCACCGCTGAAGATAGCGCGAACAGTGTTACCAGAGACACAGAAAGAGGCGGCGCCGTTGTTAAAGTTTGAATTGGTCCAGGAGAGAATGCCATCAGCAACAGCGAATGTGCCTCGAATTGGTCCCGGGGAAGTGGTTCCCACGAACAACGCACTGGACACGTTCGTGTTGACAGCCACAAGCAGGCTTCCATCATAAAGATGGCCTCCGGTGAGATAGAACCGATCTGCGTTGTCACAGCTGGCTGTGAGGGATCCAGCACCGATCAAGACGGCCGTGTTGTAGGTCTGACGCTTTCTTTTCGATTGAACGGGCTCAACATACAAAGCCAACGGCTCGAGAGTTGCGGATGGGGACGCAGATGCGCTGGACTTGATGACAGGGGTCGAGCTGGCACGTTGAATAGAGCGGGAGGGTGAAAGAGTGCCAGAACCAGAAGCTTGCAGAGACGTTGATGAAGTACGCTGGGAGTTGCCGTAGATGCTACTTGAGGCAACCGAGCCTGACCCAAAAACTGAGCTAGTCTGCAAAGGTGCCGACGAAGAGTGCGACGAGTCGCTGTGAGTGATGCTACTCGATGCGCCCGAGCTAGAGCCATGACCATGGCCGTGGCCGTGGCCGTGCCCATGACCATTTTTATGGCCAGAATGAGAGCCAGAGACTAAGGCAGAGGCAGAGGTAGAGGCGTGGTCCGTTTGTATAGGTCTAACACCCGAATTTGTCGCAGTGGCAGTGACTGGACAGACAGTTGTGTAATCAATGATAGTATCCGTAGTTACATATGTCGTTCTCTCAGATGCTGGGCAGTCCTTGACGGAGGATGGGCAGGCAGTCACAGTGCTCACACGAGTGGTATAGACGGTAGAGGTAGTGTATTCATCTCCTCCAGCGCGAGTGAGCGTCTGTGATGACCCAGTTTCAGCGGGCTTCGTGGTAACACCGGTTCGCGAAGCAGATTCAGCAACGGGGCAGACCGTCGTGTAGTCAATGACAGTTTCAGTCGTCACGTAAGTGGTTTTTTCTGAACTGGGGCAATTCTTGACCGAAGACGGACAAGCAGTTACAGTGTGGACATGAGAGGTATAAACAGTCGAAGTGGTATATTCCTGCCCTTTGTTTGAGCCAGAGTCTGAGTTGGAGCTTGATTCATTGCCAGAGGTATTGACAGACTTGTCAGAGTTGTTGGTAGACTTATCAGACTCTCCTGTGTTGGATTCCAAAGAGCTGCTGGTGGTGGGAGAAGATAAAAGAGCGGTAGTGCAGGGGCAAACAGTATGATAATTAGTTCTGGTCAAGGTAATGACTCTCCCAGAATCGGAATTCTCAACTTCATCTGCACGAACTTCCAAAGCTGTGGCAGAGACACTTGCCAGAAGCAAGATGCTCGCCAAAAATGAGCGTACAAGCCGCATGGCTGGCGGCTATGGGTGGAAAGGAGCGTAATGAGTGACTCCTAAAACGAATGTAATGAGTGACTAGAAGTGGTTTCTCAAAATGATCAGTGGCTCTGTCATGTTTCTTTTTAAGCGACAGACAGTATGGATAGCCAATGCACCGACTCCGGAGATTTTTTTGACCTAGACCGATGCTCCTATCGGCTGGCTGACCTAGAGAGGGGCTTTTCCATTTCTTTTACTCCATTCTTGTTTTCTTGTTTTCTCCCTATTTCTTCTAGATGATGCTAAGCCTGTATGGGTGGGTTCTTGGAGAATTTAGGGCCTCGATAGTGCAAGCCGCTCGGACGCGATAGTGACCAATACACCGACGTATGTATACAGTGGCAATTCAAGACTTCGACCAAGGAAACGGCCCGATGCGATATATGTACTCCACCATCTTGCTTCCTGAAACTTCATCCTATCTGTGTTTGAAATCGGTATTCTACATAGCTCAAGTATCATCTTCTGGTCTATACTTCTACTCATAACAGATGATTGGTTTTGGAAATTTGTCAGGGTTTCAAATGTATGGAACCCCACTGTACAAGTTTCTCGTCGGGGCCCACACTAAGAAAACAAGCAATCCCAAAAGTTGTCAAAATGGCCGAAAGTCTATTTCTCGGCCATTCCGATTGACGCCACAATGGAGGCTGTCAGGGGAGAAAAAAAAATCCGATTCTAGCCAATCCCAATGTGAATTAGAACCAGTTTCTTCCCCACTGGCGGAGCTATCAATGGATGGAAATACCAGCCGAACGGTTCGGAGACTCGGCCGCAAGGAATTAGGGCTAACCGTATAGCCAACCAACAACAAATTTAGAAAGCTCCAGCAAAAGAAAAGGATATACTGCGCATTGTTTTTTAATATGAGACTAATAATCGGTCCCTTGCCCTTATTAGGTAACCGATAATTGAGACTAACAAGATCTTTCATTTCGATCGGACTTGGAGCCGCGATCCGTCGAATCCCATTCGACTTACCGTCGCTTATAGAGACCCTCGATTCTTAGCCTCCTCTCATGTGCACCCTTGCCCCTTTAGGCCTTCTGTCCTTGAACACACATCTTTTGTGCCCTTCCTTCCTATACTTTTACAAATTGGACCGTTTGTATATTGCTTGCGCTTAAAAAACTAGCTTTGCCTTAGCGAAGATGGATATTGCTACTATCTTCGCTTCCGGATCGTGGCGTGCCATGTGGTTTTGATGGGGTCCTCTTCGGCTACGTCGACCCGATCCGATGCATGGCATCATTTACTCCGAGTAGCAAATAAGCGGAATTTACATAACTGGGAATAAGACGTTGCGCCCAGGGCGCTGGTTCAAAATGAACGTCTCCCAGTTTTGACAAACACCTGCTCACACATGGAAGATATTCGCGATGGCACTAACTCTAAACAGACACAAATCCACGAAATACGCAACCTTGATGGTTCCTGTGGGCCATCTGGGGTCATCGAAATCAATAGTCCATGAATTGTACACACTAGCAGGCTTCGGGATCTGAAATGATAACAAGAGATCTGGGGCCCTAGTATCTATCATTGTACAGCCTCGCGTGTTTATTCCCAAAAGCGGAGTGGATCTTCCAGCTCAAGTTGAACGCGCCACACTAATGGAGCAACTGGGGCGAGGTGAGCACTATTCATCTTCAATTCGCGCCACATATTTCCGTGTCGAGGCAAAGAGAACCGACTGGCCCACGAGGGGGCTTTAGTGGAAACGGCAGGAACCAAATCCAAACTACTCCTAGGAACTCCCTCCCCTAAGGTAATATCGTTAGAAGAATTTGATGTAAACAAATCAAGCCCTGATAAATCGTCCTCTAGACATCTCCTTCGCCCCTCAAAATCCAGTCTGCCGCGTCCAGGCAAGACTAGTCACTCCTTTAACCACACTCTTTTAATATTCCACTATGCATTCTCGGACCTACCTCTTCGCTCTATGCCAACTAGCATGGCAAATTGGCACTGCCACAGCCTCTCCATACCAGAGCCGTGTCCAGGAAACTGGTACAGTCTTCCCAGCACCCGCTGAATTCGGGACTTGGCAGATGGTCTCGTACACGGAAGACTTTGGCGATGATATCTTCGACGATTTCACCTACACCGTGCCCGCCCTCGCCTACATCCAAACCATCGGTACAAGCTCCGGCGACGTCCGTGTCCAAATCGCTCCAAATGGATACTCGTATGTCGCCCTCGACGAGACATCCGCTATATCGCTGCAGAATAACGGTGTCTGGGAACTGGCTGATTATGACAACGACGGAACACTGGATCTGATCTACATTCAAAACCGAAACACGGACTCCGGAAAGGTGGAAATCACCGTTGCTTCTGGTGCGTCGAAGTTCCAGTCGTATCTCCTGCAGAATGTACAGACTGTGTTTGACGTGCAGATCAACGGCTGCTGGCAGATGGTTGATGTCGACGGTGATGGGACTCTCGATCTTGTTTACATCCAGACCAGTAACACGGAATCTAATTACGCCGAGGTCTTTGTCGCATCCGGAGCTTCGAGCTACTCAACGCTTACTAGCAAGACTGTGTCGAGTCTCTCTATCAGCAATGATGGTACCTGGCAGCTGGCGAATTGGAACATGGCTGGATCTTATGATTTGGTTTTCATTCAGAACATGAATACTGCATCTGGTTATGTTGAGGTGAATGTTGCTTCGGCTGCGTCTGGGTACCAGACTATTATTCAGAGTGTGTCTACTACCTTCTCGGTTGAGAATAATGGTACATGGATGATGTATGATTGGGATGGTGATAGTATCCTGGATTTGATTTATATCAAACAGGATGATACTCCTGGTACCGTTGAGGTCCACGTTGCCGTTGGTTCAAGCTAGACGAACAAGATGAGCTGTTTCGACTTGAAATCGCTTCCTATTCAAGTTCCTTCAGTACGAAGGGACTCGATGAACTGCAACATGAACTGAAATCTTCGCCTGGACTTTCGTTCTTTTATATTCTCTTTTCTTTTCATCCTCAATCTACTCTTCTTACCTTCCTTTTATCATGAGCACTCAAGTCATACCTATTAAACATTTTGCTCTACGCTTTTTCTCCCACGCTGTGTTACTAGATTAGTTATGTGGTTTATTGCGGAGACCACCAAAACTCAACAAAATTTCAATGGAGATCCGAGGATATGAACGTTTTAATTAGTGCTAGACCTTTCAAGAAAAAAAAATTAAAACCCCAATGATAATAGAAACAAGCTATATTGTAAACGATGTATAATTCTTGGCAAATTATAGACAGCAGAACAAAATTTTACAGACAAGGTGGTATCTACATATGCGCCTAAAGCTTCGCCCGGAAAGCACGTCGTAAAGAGTCAAGAGCAGATGGACCATCGTAAATCTGCTGCTCAACCATGCGGGTGTTGATCTAGAAAACGTCAGTATTTCATCAGAAAAGAGCGGGATTGTAGAGAAGGACGCATACATGTTGAGGGCCTAGTGCATCCACGGTTTCCACACCGAGCAGGCGCATGCACGTCTTGGTTTCGTCGGCAAGGACTGTAACAGACTGTTAGCATGAAGACTATTATCAAGTTGGAAAAGTACATACTCTGCAATGTCCTGCGAACACCATCGGGACCGCCAGCTGCCAGACCCCACAGAGCAGGGCGTCCAAGACCAACTGCCTTCGCTCCGAGGCAGAGAGCCTTCACGACGTCTGTTCCGCGACGAATACCACCGTCGACGTGAACCTCGAGCTTGTCAAAGACCTCGGGGCAGTATTTGCGGATCTCTAAGAGAGTGTGCACGGCTGGTGGGGCAGTGTCCAAAGCCCGGCCACCATGGTTAGAGAGGATAATTCCCTTGACCTGTGGGGCGTGCAGGGAGGCAAGGTATGCATCCTCGTGGGTTTGCAAACCCTTCAGAATAATAGGCAGATCAGTGTGCTTTGCCAACCAGGGCAGCGTCTCTTGCCAGGTCAAGGAAGGATCGGTACCGGCAAACAGCTGCTGGCCAACACCGCCAGATCCGCCTGGGCCACTCACGTCGGGAGTGCCATCAGCTGAGCGGTCAGCAGCCTTCACGCCACTTGATACAGGGGCAGTGGCCCCCACGAGACTGTTTCGCTCATCTTCTTCACGCTTACCCGGAACGGGGGCATCGAGAGTGAGAACGATGAACTTGATAGCCTTGAGCTTATTGATGCGAGCCAGCATCGCCTCGCTCTTCTTGCGATCGACCTGAACATAAAGCTGCCAGCCAAAGACCTGGTCTGGAGCTGCATCTTTGACAATCTGTTCGGGGGTCATGGATGCGTTATTAGAGATGACTTGCATGGCACCGAAGCTTCGGCACGCCTCTGCAATACCAGCTTCACCGGAAGGATGGCCGAGACGTGCCATAGCTGCGGGTGACACATAAATAGGCATGCCCAATTTGTGTCCCAGTACTGAAGTATCCAAGTCACACTTGGTGCAGTCAACAAAGACTCTTGGTCGTAGAAGGATGGATCGGTAGACTTCGTTGTTAAAGCGCTTGGAAAACTTGTCGTCCGATGCCGAATAGTAATAGGCCCATGCCTTCTGGCTCACTTGCTTCGTAGCAACTTCTTCAATTTCGTCAAGGTTGAGGAGATTTTGCATAGGAGGGGGTCCTGCCGCCGGCTCCTGGGGTTTTGCTGGTGCTTCGTCCTTGGGCAATGTTGCTGGGTCCACGATTCCAAGGCAGGCCTCTGGCTTCAGTTCTTCTAAAGTACCCGGAGGGTGAATGGGGTCATATTCCTCAGTAGCATCCTTGCCAGAGAGCTTCAAAATAATCTTTGAACCGCCAGGGTGACTGGATAGGAAATCGGTGACCTAAGTATAGTCCATAGTGTTAGCTCTTCCGCTTTCCCTTTCCGAGGATCAATGAGAAACTGGAGCAATCGTACATCATAGACCTTGCCGTATAGAATCACCCAGCAGCTCTCGGGAGTGTTGTGCTTCGCAACTGCGCAATCGAGTCAGCGTACCCCCACGAATTGAAGACCCCGTTGGCCGTTGGGGAGGGTCCAGAGTTCCGTGCGGAGAAGCAAGAGCATACCTTCTGCAGCGTCGAATACCTTTGCCATGTTGAATCAGCACAATACGACAATCGCAGATGTTCAATTCGCAAAAGACGCTCAAGAAGAGGGGAGAAAAGAGATAAGTTAAAAGAAAGTCGGGGAAAGAGGGCCTGTTCGGAGAAGGCGCCGACCGTCAATGCTGGGCGTGTGGGGGTTCCTTGGGGAAATATCCGGCGATTGGGCTCCCTCGTTGGGTAAATTCGATAGCCGACCGTCTCGAGCATTAGAAACACCCCCACGTCATTGGTGGGGAAATTGCACGACTGTTTTTGCACGACTCAACAGCCAGTAGAAGGCGTTGTGGAATTCGCTGTCATCGGTACACGGGGACCCCAGATACTCGGAAATCGATCTCCAAGGTTCTAGAGTGCCAAAGTTCCAGAATAATGTTAACGGTAGTTCGGTGGGTTAATGCTAAACCGAAAACAGGGCGAAGTTGAGGATGAGACGATGGTCGAGTCCACGTGAGCACGATCACGCGGTTCCTTCTCCATCTTTCCCCATCGAAATGACTGCATCGGCTGTCTTCTGAGGGAACTTTCCCCAGGAACCTTCACGATCCAGCTTGCCGGGGACTTTATCACTATGTTTGAGGTGTGTTGACTACCATACATTATTTTTTTTGGCTCTCATACACCGAGAGCCCATTCCTGTCTCGCCTCACTAACAGTTTCAGCGACGAGCGGCCGACCGATATCGTCTGCGGATGCACCGTGCTCGCTCCGCAGTGCTGACCTCGGACGAAATTGTCGAAGTGCGTGCCGCTCAGCGAACATTTGAAGGTGCCTACGTCCGAACTGCACTCTCCCAATTCTCCTTTGCCCTCGTCGTCCTCAAGATCTTCACCGCCGAGTTCTACAGTATCGGTGCGCTGTTCGCCATTTACGGTACCGGTGTCCTGATTATTGGATTGTTCCGCCGCTCCCAAGGAAACCGACAATTTTTCTCAGAAGTGGGAGACGATGGAATCCATCGACACAAGTTTAGGACCAGTGGAAATGCCGTGGTGGTGCTGACTGCTCTGAGTGTAGCGGCATACGCCTGCTTGATCGGCCTCACTTTGAGCCTAAGCAACTAGTCAAAACGTGGGCGTCGGAGAGGGGGGATGGTGAGATACTCCGCCTCCCTCCCTGATGGAACTCCCAGCAAGACCACATCTTCCGTGCACAGGATATCACGCCCACTCCCACCCCCCTGCGTTACCGCCAAGCGCCAAGAATGATGTACCACACCCCCGGCGACATTATCGTCAGCCCGCGGATACGGGCGGCGGAGTCGATCACCCGTGAGAGCGCGGCGGCATCCAGTTGGTCGGAGTCCGATCTGCTGTGTTGGGAACCTGGGGACCGAGAAACCGCCAAGGAGGCCGAGTATGTCGGAAAGGGAGGAGGACTCGCCCGAGCGGTGAGGCGTATGTCGTACAAGGCGCCCCAAGAGTCGGGCTGTGCCTTCCAGCGGAGTCGTTGGAATTGAAATTGGGTGTTAAATCGCACCTCTGCGACCTTATCATTCGGTCTTTCTCGGCGACTCCTGGATGTCCGCCAACCTAGACGCTGACCGCACCTACTTGCTTGGTTCTTGGCACGACGGAGAGGCATTGTGCAGATCCCATACTGAGCGAACGCCTCGGTGGATATTCCGGGGGGCATTGCAGGGCTAGAGATTTACACAGGGGTTGCAGATGGAGCTATGGAGGCTGATCCACCGTTCTGGTTTGGCCTGGAAAGTGTTGAGCCAAGCATTCTGGGTAAGATAAAGATCGATGTATCGCCAATAGACTCGCAAGACCTGCCTCGTTCCTCTGGGGAGAGGAGGGTATGTATATATAGAAAGCTCGAAAGCTGCATAAATCCAATCTCTCGGATTCTTCTCATAATTTCGCATCTGCATAGAAATCTCACTTTGAAGATTTGACATCATATTGCAAAGCCACTTATGCCCCAGAGATCCACCAAGTGGGTTCTGGCGATCAGTGTTCTTCTGTGACTTCATTATTTACTGGGGAAAGTGCCGTTATGCTCTGAACGGGACGCTCCTACACGTTTCTATCTTTTTCCAACGTAGAAACAAGATAAATCACCTACCTTCAGTACGATCTCACGACTTTCCTGCCTCGTGTCAGCAGCATCACGTTGTCTCTTCATCAACCTCAACCTTTTACCCCCCTTTGCGACAAATAAATCTCTCTTCAGCGAAACCCCATCAACACTCCCCCTAAACCATCTTCAATCCAGAATCCAGCAATCCCAACTCACTTTTAATCTCCGTGGCTTTTCCTTCTTGTGCTGGAACTCCCCAGTTGTGAGGGCAGTTCTCACCAACCAAATCACCGAAGTGAAGCACACAGTCGAAAGTGACGTCCACTTTTGCCGGAGTTGAGTCATCCGATTCTCCCGCCCACCTTCTTTCTCCCCTCCCGCTTTGTTTCTTCAGAAAAGGCCTTTTTTTTTCTCATCGAGATCTCCTCATCCTCGAGAGCACAACTTCTCAAATCCTTGAAAGACCCGAAGCCCGGGTTCCACATCCTCTCAAATACTTCTCCCCGGAAGTTCCGATCCCCCTTAGCCGGGGATGGCGCAGCATTCCACCATCGCGCGGTCGGCTATCATGACGTCGGCCACCTCGCCTGATCTCATGGGCCTGGGAGATCAAAGAATTATGAATCAACGGTCCAACGGCATCAGTTCCCACGGAGCTAGTCTCGGCTCGGGAAAAGAAGGAGCTCTGATGCCTCCTCCGAAGACTGTGGTTGGGAGAGCGCTAGGGAATGACCTGCATTCCGATGTCCACAGAACCTCACAGCCGCCCAAGGGCGGAGTCGGAACCGCTCTGACTGACACTCCGATTTCTACCGCACCCCCGTCTCCACAGATGTAAGTCTCCCCTGCGTCTGAGTCGTCAATATTTATCCCTTCCCGGCAAGTCTAGAACCTTGTCTCGTGTCAAATGGTTGCTTGTTTCACTCCGGACCTATGAGAAGGGACCCTGGGCCAACCCTGCGATGTGCCTCGGGTGAAGTCCTTCCCGTAAGCGTGGAGCTTGTCCCCAGAGATCACAAAGCTTGGGCTTGACCGCTACTGGATGCCTGACTGGTCCCTGGGTTGATGTGGCTGAATCCGCTTCTGGAGCCTCATCGCGATCTTGTGGCATTTTGACTGTGGGCCTTGGGCCGCCTGTCTCTTTCCGTTGATGATGACTTTTAGCTAATACATATCTCTCTACATACAGCAATGGTCTCTCCACCGTCAGTACCCCCAGCCGGGTTCGTGCAACTACTCTTGATATTCCCGGCTTGACCAAGTCCAAGGTCTCCCCGGACGGACGCATCGCCCAGCGTGATGTCGGCTCCAAGCTCGTTATTGTCATGGTCGGCCTGCCGGCTCGAGGCAAGAGTTACATCACCAAGAAGCTGGCTAGATACTTGAACTGGCTCCAGCATGACACCGAGATCTTCAACGTCGGTGAACGTCGTCGTGTGGCCGCTGGCAAGTCACCCTCGCCGGCCAAGATTGGACATCCCCTGGAGAAGCGTCCCAGCAATGTCCACAAGGATCTCGTGGACTCTGTACGCCGACTGAGCGTCAGCGTTGGAACAATGAACCAGAACGAATCGTCCCCACCTGAGAACGCTTCACCACCAAATGATACAGCACTCCCACCTCCAGCGGTTCCTGCCAAGATTCTCATCAACGGACAGGAGCCCGGATCCTCCATCTCACAGAATGGAAGCACTGTGATTCCTTCCATAGATGCAGGTTCTGCTCAGTCCACCGGCAATGACAAGGTCATTAGGGAAGCCTCCCCTGAACCAATGGATCAGAGTGCAAACTTCTTTGATCCTCAGAACCAGCGTGCTGTGAAGCTCCGTGAGCAAGTGGCCCTGGACACTCTTGACGAGCTGCTCGAGTACATCCTCGAGGAAGGCGGCAGCGTTGGTATCCTCGATGCCACAAACAGCACTATGGAACGTCGCAAGGCTATTGTCGACCATATTCGCCAGCGTGCTGGCCCCGAGCTGGGCATTCTGTTCCTTGAGAGCAGCTGTGTGGACAAGAACCTCCTGGAAGCTAACATGCGCCTGAAGCTTTCTGGTCCTGACTATAAGGGCCAAGATCCAGTCACTGCTCTGGAAGACTTCAAGAAACGTGTTGCTCTGTACGAGAAGTCGTACGTTCCCCTGGGCGAATATGAGGAGAACCACGACATGGCCTACATTCAAATGATCGATGTCGGTCGCAAGATTGTTTCGCACCAGACCCACGGCTTCCTCTCTTCTCAGGTCGTCTACTACCTGCTTAACTTCAACCTTTCTCCACGCCAGATCTGGATCACCCGTCACGGTGAGAGCCTGGATGACGAGGCCGGCCGTATTGGTGGAGATTCTGACCTCAGTGAGAATGGCAAGCGTTACGCAAAGGCCTTGGCTCGCTTCGTCGACCACCAGCGTAAGCAGTGGGAGCTTTACCAGCGCCAGAAGAACCTGATTAAGCACTTCCCGCCCCGTCCTGGTGACAGCACCCCTCCCAACCCGTCGTACATTCCTCGTGATCGCCCTCGCAACTTCTGCGTGTGGTCGTCGATGATGAAGCGTGCTGTGCAAACCGTTGAGCACTTCAATGAGGACGATTACGATGTTAAGGAGATGCGAATGCTTGACGAGCTCCACTCTGGAAAGATGGAGGGCATGACCTACAAGGAGATTCAGCAGCAATACCCCGAGGAGTATGCTCACCGCAAGAAGGACAAGCTCTTCTACCGCTACCCTGGTCCCGGCGGTGAAAGCTATCTGGACATCATCAACCGTCTCCGAGCCGTTATTGTTGAGGTCGAGCGCACCACCGACCACGTCCTTCTGGCTAGCCACCGATCCACTGCTCGTGTCCTTCTGTCCTACTTCCGCGGTCTGAAGCGCGACGAGGTCGCCGACCTGGATGTTCCCATGGGCATGCTGTACATGTTGGAGCCCAAGCCTTACGGTACCGACTTCAAGGCTTACCAGTACAATCCTGAGACTGATTGGTTCGACTACATTCCCAACTATGAGTTGCACCAGGTCGGTGCACAGTAGATTTGCGAAATCGAATCTTGCTAGCCTTGCTTGGGGTCTATTGACTCCACAATGCTCTCCATCTTACGACATGCCATGACTTGCGACGATATTTTTTCAACATCACTCCGACTTGCTTCATACAGCCAAGTCAACACCATCAATATCCATATTCATATCCATTGCTGCACATGCTTTCTCGCCTTTGCCCCGTGTTCCATCATTGCTCTGGTGCTTCTCACGGGGCCATGGCTGCCCTGTATCCCTATCAGTGCCCCCATCCCTCTATGTACTATCATCCCAATCTCTCACCACTTCACTTCCGCACTCCCCGTTTTCCAACCGTGGCCGTTTGCTTTTTTCCCAGACTCCCGCCGCATGAACGGGCGTTCTGGGTTTCCTCTATTCTTATGATTCAACCTTTCTCAATTCTGTGTTTCTTATCTCTTTTTGTTTTTCCTCGCCGCACGTCTTTTGCATGGGTTTGGCGTTCAGGCGGGTGTTATGCTACCTATGACCCGCCCTCGAGCGTCATGACTCCATGAGATTCCAAATTTTTCTTTTCCATCGTCGGGCATTTCTCGATGTCTTGGCGGTACTGGGTTGATAGATCGTGACGGTGAGACATTTGCTTCTTTGTGATTTGTCGCCGGACTTTAGGCGTTCGTCTTAGGTCATACACATATTCTTACCTACTTCTTCTTTCTTTATTATCTACGTAATGTTGTAGCTGTGTATGTTTTGGAGGTAGGTGATGGATTAGACTTTTTTAGGGGAATAAGTAGACTATCTATCCATAGACCCTAAAGTTGAAGGAAATTTTGTTGATGTGTCCTTGTGGTGCAGATGGTTTATACAAAGTACATTGTGCGATCATGACATCGGAGGCCAAGAGGGCAGGAGTGGATTTGACGCTATCAACCTTGTCTAATTCGACCTTCGGTTTAGACGAGGATATGTGCTTTCCGTCTTACTCATGAAGACATTGAACACTTCGGTCAATAAAGAAACACAAGGCTGAGGCTGGAAAATAATTAAGGGAGGGGCCTCCGAGGCGGCTGTTTTACCGGCCGCTGCTCAAGTTATAATAGAGTCATATGTCCTAATATTATGACCAATATGATAATACAGTTGACCGTGTAGTGATCGTGGTTATCGTAAACTCCCGGATTCTACCCCAAGTCCAACTTCTGTTTATGACAGCGACGCGGAAGTGCTGGTTAGGCAGAACCTCATGACAAAATAAACGCGGCATTCGTGTAAGGGTAGAGATACCGGGTAGAGATGAACTGTTGAAGTGGTATATCCAGCCACTTTTCATGGCTCTCAATTCAGTCTGCCGTGGCAGTTGGGGATTTTGCCGCAATTTTTTCGTCTGTTTATGGCTGCGCTGCAAACGAAGGAGTATGTATATCACTCTAGCCAG